GGATTTCAATCTCAACAAAGAAATGAAAGCATAACTTGTTGTCCTCTTACTCTTTTAGCCTGCCTTGTGGAGGTCTCTCGGGTGTCTACGGCAGATCCGATCAGTCTCGTGATGAAGAGAATTTCCGATCTTCCACTAAGAAAGGTATCGTCACGACAACTCAATTTGTCCGGTAAACTACTCGGGGCTCCCCATGGTTTAGTAAAAGGGGAGGGTTCTCTTCATCCGGGGTTCATTTCATTCATTATGAACTCAAAAGTGTAAGGCTGATTAGTGAGGTCTTAAAAACTTCATACAATGAATGATCGGCCATTCCATTCCATTTGTGCTTTCAGCAAGTAGGCGACGCGAATCTATGCTTTCTATGTTTCAATCGGATACCAATTGCTTGGATGCCTTTGAAAGCCTCGAGATGACTTGCAGAAAGAATTCTTTCTAGGTTTGTCGTCTTGTGTCTCCGTAACAAATGGTCCATTTATTGATGGGCGAACGACGGGGATTGAACCCGCGCGTGGTGGATTCACAATCCACTGCCTTGATCCACTTGGCTACATCCGCCCCTACCCCCGCACAGGTTTCAATCTCTATCTACGATCAGATCCTTTCTGAACTCCCCTATGACCGCTCTCAAAGAGACACTTTTTCCTATACTATTACTATAGTTGCAAGTCTATTGTTGTGTTTCGGAACTAGGGGAACCAAAGCTTCAACAAGTAGAAGCTTCCTGGCAAAGCTTCAAACAAAGAGATTGGGCTGTTCACTTCATTGATTTGACTTCACTTTACTTAAGATTAAAGATAGGGGCCGGGCGGGCAGTGAAGGCTCATTTAGTAGACAGCGAGCGAGCAGCAAGCTACGGCTTTGACGAGCAGCAAGCACCTACTCCTATCAAAATGAAAAGCAGCAAGCGGAACTTGAAGAAGCGCGAGCCTCTATCAGAGAAAGCCATTGCGCGCTAGCCCCTTGTATAGGGTTCCAAACCTGCGCACCCCTAAACTACAAGCTTTGTTTGAAGCCTCTACTGAATTTATGGGATATTTGAAGAAGCCCCTAGGGGCTTCTTCAAATATCCCATAAATTCAGTAGAGGCTTCAAACAAAGCTTGTAGTTTAGGGGTGCGCAGGTTTGGAACCCTATACAAGGGGCTAGCGCGCAATGGCTTTCTCTGATAGAGGCTCGCGCTTCTTCAAGTTCCGCTTGCTGCTTTTCATTTTGATAGGAGTAGGTGCTTGCTGCTCGTCAAAGCCGTAGCTTGCTGCTCGCTCGCTGTCTACTAAATGAGCCTTCACTGCCCGCCCGGCCCCTATCTTTAATCTTAAGTAAAGTGAAGTCAAATCAATGAAGTGAACAGCCCAATCTCTTTGTTTGAAGCTTTGCCAGGAAGCTTCTACTTGTTGAAGCTTTGGTTCCCCTAGTTCCGAAACACAACAATAGACTTGCAACTATAGTAATAGTATAGGAAAAAGTGTCTCTTTGAGAGCGGTCATAGGGGAGTTCAGAAAGGATCTGATCGTAGATAGAGATTGAAACCTGTGCGGGGGTAGGGGCGGATGTAGCCAAGTGGATCAAGGCAGTGGATTGTGAATCCACCACGCGCGGGTTCAATCCCCGTCGTTCGCCCATCAATAAATGGACCATTTGTTACGGAGACACAAGACGACAAACCTAGAAAGAATTCTTTCTGCAAGTCATCTCGAGGCTTTCAAAGGCATCCAAGCAATTGGTATCCGATTGAAACATAGAAAGCATAGATTCGCGTCGCCTACTTGCTGAAAGCACAAATGGAATGGAATGGCCGATCATTCATTGTATGAAGTTTTAAGACCTCACTAATCAGCCTTACACTTTTGAGTTCATAATGAATGAAATGAACCCCGGATGAAGAGAACCCTCCCCTTTTACTAAACCATGGGGAGCCCCGAGTAGTTTACCGGACAAATTGAGTTGTCGTGACGATACCTTTCTTAGTGGAAGATCGGAAATTCTCTTCATCACGAGACTGATCGGATCTGCCGTAGACACCCGAGAGACCTCCACAAGGCAGGCTAAAAGAGTAAGAGGACAACAAGTTATGCTTTCATTTCTTTGTTGAGATTGAAATCCAGTTCTTTAAAA